TAAACAATTTTATTTCAATCAAATATTATTGTATTATTATAACTAATTATATTTATGATCATAATATGTCATTAAAATAACTTGTGAACTTGTTATTATTTTTAAAACAGCATATTTATTATAATATGCACAATTATATAACTTATATAATATAAGTTCAGATTAATTAATATCTACATGCATAGTATCAGGAATAATTAATGAATGCTAAACAAATTAAACTGGAATTATGTTTAACGTGTAATTTAGTTATGTTAATTAACAAATAAAAAAAGAAAATTTTAATTACATCAATAACCTTATTGAACTTGACAAGGTTAACATAAATAAACTAAACAACATACAAGTATATTGTATTAATTATTTATGTATTTAAAACTTTACAATAAGTATACTGTAAATATTTCTATTATGTATAACTTGTATGCCTAAACTCGCACAACATCACTAATATTAAACAAGATTACATTAAAATAAAATTGTTTGTTCTGCTCATAAGCGCATACCTGGCCATTGCTCACGTCGAGAACAACGTAGTGATTGGCAAAAATAATATCATGGTCAACTCGATAGTCTACATTCCATGCAATTAAAATTGCAACAAACTAATGCCAGACTAATGGTATGCATGCAAACATACTAATCACCACTAATTATTTAATTTATCAAGTATTAACAAATAATGAAAATATAGTTTTAATGCATAAAATATTTAATTTTAATCAATGTATCTAGCAACTATTTAAAACCCAACATGTTAGACTAAATGTTACACACAATGACCTTTAAGGCATATGAGATCGGGTGCCCACGAATGCCGACATTCCTCATCCGTTTGACAAATAAATTCTTCGCATTCGGTATTCTGTTTAACGGCTCTATAGCCCGAACCGCACCGGCATGTGTTGAACGTGCGTTCGCACACTTGATGCTCATTTGGGCAATCATCAACTGAATCGCACTTGACCACGTTAAAATGCGTACACATGCCACCATTGCTATCATCGATGTAGTTATTCAATTCGTCGCATAGGCACATGCCTGTTTTGGTGTCGCACGTGCGAAAATCACCACGCTTCAAACAGTCCTTATCATTGGCGCATTTGTATGCCTCGCACTGTTTACTCGTCCGATTGAACTCGTAATTGACCGGACACTGGCAGGTGGGTGGGTCACAGGTTGAGGTTATGCACGTGTAATGTCCGCTACTATTTTGTCCATTCATACATGTGCAGTCTGTTTGCATGCATACCATGTCGGGCATCAGTTCGTCGCAATCCGGATCGCTTATACACGGAAAGTTGACAATCGAATTAACCATCATGTTCTCTTTGCCAATCACCACGTTACTCTGGACGTGAGCAATGGCCAGGTATGCGCCAACTAACAATGCCGACAGTATATTGTTCATAATTATAGTTTTATTTAATTTTATTACTAAAATAATTAATTTATAAAACTTATGTGTTTTGAGTAGAATTGAGTTTTGCTATTTATACGTTTATTAAATGCAATTTCACCATAATTCGTTAATTGTTCTTGTTGGAATTATGATTTCATTAGAAGTTACAAGTGTACCAAACTTATAACCACACGCTATTAATTACCTAGAATTATTAATTTAATAAAGAATATCCTTTTGACTAATGTTTACTACAATATTAAGATTACGTATTATTGATAAAGTCAGACTAGCACTAACAATATTTGCGTTCATATGTCTAAATGCACTAGAATAATCCTAAAGGAGAATGTCCATATTTATCAAAACTGTTGAGATTTATTATAGAACATCAAAAGAAATTAACTATTTTGCTGCGATGGCTAATGTAATTTTATTTGCATTATATGCATATTTTTAATGTTGTTCACATTTTATCTAAAATATTTTAAATTGTCTATTTTTGTTAATTTATTAAAAATAATTATTTGCAAATTACGACTACAATGTTTTTTATAAATGCTAATTATATAATATATTACTACTAATAATAATTACTATAAAATGACAATTAATTTTTTACAAAATTTTGTATTATTAAATAAAATAAATATTTATAAACTTATCAACAGTGTTACACATTTAGTACATTATTGATTAAAAACCAAGTGTACAAGGTCGTTACAGATTTTTAATCATTACTTTTAATAATGATTATTGTAAATATTTTAATACAATTATCATAATAGAAAAGTAACAATTAGTGCAACACTATTATAAATATTAATAAAGCTAGTTTAAATTAAATAAAGTAAAATAAACTTTATATTATTTCAAATCAGATAAATAATTCTAGGTAAACAATCGCGTGTGATTATAATATGGATAGCTAATTATGAAACTTACAATTTATCAATTATGATGAAATTGCATTTAATAAACGTATAAATAGCCAAAACTCAATTTTACTCAAATCATATTAATTGTTAACTAATAACTAAACATTAATTATTTTAGTAATAAAATATAACAATTACTATAATTATGACTAGAACATGGCTGATCTTGTTAGTAAGCGAGTGTCTGGTTGCGTACGTGCAGAGTAACGTGGTACTTGGCAAAGCGGACATCATGGTTAACTCGATGGTCAACTTTCCGTGTATAAGCGATCCTGACTGCGACGAACTGATGCCCGACATGGTATGCATGCAAACTGACTGCACATGTATGAATGGACAAAATAGTAGCGGACATTACACGTGCAAAATTTCAAACTGTGACGCACCGACGTGTCAGTGTCCGGTCAATTACGAGTTCAATCGGACGAGTAAACAGTGCGAGGCATACAAATGCGCCAATGATGACGACTGTTTGAAGCGTGGTGATTTTCGCACGTGTGACACCCAAACAGGCATGTGCCAATGCGACGAATTCAGCAACTACATCGATGATAGCAATGGCGGTATGTGTACGCATTTTGAAGTGGTCAAGTGCGACACACCCGGTGATTGCCCTATTGTACATCAAGTGTGCGAACGCACGTTCAATACATGCCGGTGCGGTCCGGGCTATAGAGCCGTTAAAGAGAATAAGGAATGCCAAGAATTTATTTGTCAAACGGATGAGGAATGTCGGCATTTGTGGGCACCCGATCTTATATGCCTTAAAGGTAATTGCATATAAATTTCTAAACGAGCAAGGTGGTTTAAACATAATTGTTATGTTTTTTATTTAATTAAATAAATATCTTATGCATTGAAAAGTGTGTTTTGTTTATTTGTTAAATATTTTGTGCATTGGTAAAATTGTTATAAATGAATTTATTTGAATTGGTATAAATGTTACTATTTATCTTACTCATTCTATAGTATCTTATTTAATATACATGTAACATGTAATTATGATTAAAGTTATGTTTAACTGCATTAACTATCTTTACTCATGATGATTTTAAAGTTCAATTATTCTGAATTCAAGTAATTTTAAAAATAAACAATAATTATATCACTAATCTATAAAAGTACATAAATAATAATTACTAAAATATTTTTTATAATTAATTTTATACTTTAACGCATAGCTAACCAGGGGGGAAATTCATCCCTCTCTATTAAATTGAGGGATGTGACAAATAATGATAAAGTCATGCCCAAATTCGAAGTGTACTTGCAAATGAATTAATTTTTATAAAATCGGTAAAATCCCATATAACTTCGCCTTTTTACGTCGAAAGGTTTTATGAAAATAATGATAGCCCTCTATAAGAGGATTCCAAAAATATATAATATTCCTCTTTAACATTAGTAACCTCACCGTTGCAGCAATTTAAATTTCTAACGATTTTACTCAATTTTGCCAATTTCTGTTTAAGATTTTGAATAAACTAGGTTATATAGCATATTATATGAGCGCATTTTATAAGTTCTAGCAGACTATCATGACAAAAAACATGGCCAGAAGTAAAGAAAATTGAGTAAAATTTTTCAAATTAAAATAGCCGTCACGGAGGCAATGTTATATTATCAACAAATATATTCCATATTTTTGGTATCTTTTTATAGTGGTTGATCATTATTTTTATATAACCTTTGGACGCCAAAGGTTAAAATAAGATTGCCATTTCCCCCATTATTACAGTTTTATCCCTTATTTCGAACAAATTTAAATGTTTTTATTTCGGGAAAATTATGTTTTAATAGTTTTCAAATGAAATTTATTTTCTATTTTTTAATTCATTTTCATAGAAGTTGTTTTTATTTGTTTGAAATTAAACAGTCCTCCTTAGTTTTGGAATCGATAGTAATTTTTTACTCATTTTGGTAAATTTGACTTTTAATCAATCGCTGCTTAAGAAATTATTGATCAGCCAATACTCATTAGTTTTATTTAAATTAATTGTAACATGAATTTTAATTTGTCAACTGATTATCAGTTCGCCAATTAGGAATGCGTTAATTCCACGAAACGAATTTATGATAAATAATTTCTAACAATCAAAACCCGACTCGTTTTGTGCCAATCATTACCATTTGAGATAATAATTTAAATTTTATAAAATTACGAAATTAATACTCTAAAAATTGTTGACTTTTTAAAATAAATACAATTTAAAAATATTGTAATTTATAGATTTATACAGGTCACCTCCAATTTAAGCGAATGATTGGTGAAATGGAAAATATGTCCCTTAAATCGAATTCCCCTTATATCGAGCCTTATATAAATGTCTATAAAACTACAAATATGAGCTTAAATTCATGTTTTAAACTAGTAAATGTTTGATATATTGAGATATTCAGCACTAAATTGTTGTAATATCTCTTGATTTGGACAATTTTCGTCGACTATTTTAATCACTTTATACTTAGTCTCTAATGAAAACCTTTTTCTATACCTTTTGTCAGCAATTTTGTTGACTAAATGTTTTTTTCATAAAAAATCAACACATTTGTATGTATTATTTATGTAATTAACAAATATGTTAACAAAAATATCATAAGTTTTATTTCATTTACAATTTTGAAATAACATTTCGCTTATATTGGGCTCAAACAGTGCTATGCGTGCAGTAAAGTTTGTCCCTTAAATCAAGTTTTGCTTAAATCAAATTCCCTTTATATCGAATATGTAATGTTAATCTCTCATAGGAGCGTTCGGTGCAGCAAAAAACCCTCCCTTAAATCGAATTCCCCTTAAATCGGTGTCTCTTAAATTGGAGATAACCTGTATTTCAAACACAATATAAATTCTAATAAAATTAAAAAGTTATAAACTGTAATTTTATACTTATATTTAAAATTATGTCTTTATAAGTACTTTGTTTAATTTTATAAAAGAAGAGAGACGTTAAAAACGCTATTAATATTTTTTTTTTTTTTAGCTCGCAGGGATGGCATCGACGTATGGCTGATCCCGACCCGACCCCCGACGACATTAATACTGTACACAATAAAACACAATCACAACTATTAGTTCATTTAGTTATATAGTTATATACAGTATATATGATTATTTCTCTAGAAGACAATTCTTAATAATTGAAAATAATGTTAAAACTCATTTATGACATTAAACTTAAGCATTGAAAAATGTATTTCAACTTATTGAAAAACATTCATTTTTGTGATTTTTATGACAAATGCTATCAAATACTATGAATGAGTTTTAACATTATTTTCAATTATTAAGAATTGTATTCGAGAGAAATAATCAAATGATCTTGCGCAAGTTAAATTTAAAATAAACAAATAATATATTTTTCTTATTTTTCTCATGTTATACAGAATTTTTAAAAAGTTTTATCATATAATTTGGACAAATTTATCAGTAGGCATTTTGAAAGCAATTTTTATCACGATTCAAATGCTGAAAATACTTGCATTTAATGTACAGTTTACATTTAATGTATGTTAAATTAACGTGATGTTTATAAGTTTATCAATTTTATGTTTTATTTGATAAAACAAAATTATTTATTGAGCAACATGATTAATGTAGTTAATTGAGATATATTATTTATATTGGTATTGAAATCACATGTAAGTATTAATAAGATAAATGTAAAATTTAATAAGTGGAAATTAAGTACACCCCACCCCTTGTGTGTCCCACTGTATTTGTATTACTTTATAAATGATCATTATCAAATTATGAACTCAGCTCAACGTTGATAACTTATTTATATTTACGATATAAATATTAAGATAAATACCAGAATAGTCTATAATTTTTCTTTTTCTTTAAAAAGTTATTTACATGTAATAATAATTTTTAGTTAATTGTGCAAAATTAATCATGAACAATTATATACTCCAATCAGATTATACGTGTGAAGACAAGTTAAATCATAACTCTGTGATTGATTTACTCGTTGATAGACTGAGCAATGAATCGGAGAAAAATTGTTTTGTAAGTAATTTACATAAAAATAATTATAATTAACTATAATATTGTTTAATAAATAATAAGTCATAAAAAAATTTAATTACAAAACACTAGATTGACTGTACTTTAGGGAGAAAGTGGTCAAAACAACAAGTGCTGGACTCGGGGCTAAACTTTGCCCACTATTTGCTCCGGGAATGTGATGTCCGTAAAGAAGATGTTATATGTTTCGCGTCAAACAACTCCGACATTCACGCCGTGGGTCTCATCGGCTCTCTCGCCGCCGGACTTATATATTGCTGTCTTGCAGAGCACTCCTCACTCGGTAATATTAATTGATAATTACAATAATTACATTAGTAAACAATCTTGGTTAATAGTATTGGTTATATTTATACACTTGGATCTCCATAATGTCACATCCTATATTTTCACACTCTCCCTAATTTCACATGAACGGCTAGCCCCATCTTGGGGTATATGAATTAGTATGGACCTAATTTCACACTCCATAATATCACTTTCACATCAAATGTGCGCATGATTATGTTTTTTATAATGTATTTCACATTCTCTAAATTCACAATTGATTTTAAGACTAATAATGAGTGCTAAAAACGGAAATATTTGTCTTTATCAGAGAGTGAAAAAAATGATATAAATAATTATGCATTAATTAAGCCGTAAAAACAGTTGTATTTGGATGTTTGGTGTCAGACAACATTTTGCTAACATAAATCGCATTATTTATTACAATAATTTCAATAAAATTCTCTTTATATTTTCACATTCTATAAATTCACACCCTTATATCTACGGTCCCAAGTGTGTGAAATTATGGAGATCTAAGTGTATTATGATATTTTTAAATAATTAATGTTTATTTATGTAGATGAAATCAAGGCTAACATTGAGAACATTAAGCCAAAGATTGTTGTCTGTTTTGAAAAGAACTATGATGGTGTACGTAAACTATGCCAGCAATTTACATTTGTTAAAGTATGTTTATATTTAATTATAGTTTAATAGTTAAATGCTTAATGTTAAATGTTTTTATTCATCATATCAGACACGTGTTTTCAAATTATAAATAATCAGTTTAGAGACTGTAATATGCAAATTAGTATTTTTATCATGCTATAAAAGTAAATAAACATAACTTTCTAATGGTTGCTATAAGAGTGGTACTGGTTATTTTTAGTAAAATTAAACTTGAATTAATACTTTTAAATTTATAAATTATAAGATTAATACAAATTAATTTTACTTAATTCAAATAGATAAAATTTACAATGATTTGTGCATTTCTAAAACTATAATATTATTTTAATTAAAATTACGTAAACTTTAATTATTTATTAAAGATAAAAATATTAACTATAAGTTTGTTTATTATATTATAGTTTAACAAAACATTATAAACTGCAAATATAAAATATATATTATAGTATGCTATATTAAGTTAGTTAAGATTTTTAGATTGGCAATTTGAGGTCCAATACTACAATTATTTTTGATGACCTTATCAATGAACTTGGATAATTAAATCTTATATATTACCATATTTAAACAAAATCAATTTTTAAAACCTTCATTACTATAGAAACTACTGATAACAGACCGACCGGCGGACCCCTCCATCACCACAACGCCAGCACTCGAAGACATATTCAGTAAACAACGCGACCATAGCCTAGACCTACCCGTGCGGACACAACTCAACGATACGGCCACATACGGGCTCAGCAGTGGCAGCACCGGTGCTCCCAAGGCTATCATCAAAACCAATGGCAATCATTTGGCAACAGTGGAGGCCTTACAGCACAGGGAGATGCAATGGATGGACCATGATGATATCATGTTATCTAGCAACTTTTGTCACGCCTCCGGCCAGCGGTGCCTGTTTTCGGCCATCAATGCCGGCGCGCAGTTGGCTATCGTACGGGTCGATGAAAATCTAGATGATATTTACGGCAATATTAATAAATATGGCATAACCACCGGGTTTTTGATTCCCACCCAGCTCAATTATTTGTCTAAAAATTATGATAAAATTGACCGGGATTATTTGAAAAGTCTACGCGACGTGACTACAGGTGCGGCACCGATAGCCGAGGCCACGTTCCGGCGCATTCAGGACAAGTACGCGTTTGAAAAGTTTAGAATGTGTAAGTGTGCTAAGTGCATTAATTTTATTTTTAATATTAAATTCTAATTTAATTTATATAAAAAATTGCACATGTTAGGCTATGGAATGACCGAGGTAGGCTGGGTCAGCCAGGTACCGGTGACTGGCTGCCACGAATGTAATGATTACACTAATGTCGGTAAATTAACATTTAACACCCGGATGAAAGTGATTGATGATAGAGAAAACTCACTGCCACCCAACACACATGGTCAGATTTGTTTGGAGGGGCCACAGGTAACTATATTAAGCTACAAAAATGAATTATACTTTAATTGTATTTTGTTTGTTCATGGTAATTTTATTTTATGACAGGTAACACCGGGCTATCTGAATAACCCGGATGAAAATGCTAAACTGTTTACCGCCGATGGTTTTCTCAAGAGCGGAGACATTGGATATTATGATGAAAATGGTTTCATTTATATCGTCGGCCGAATCAAAGACATCATTAATGTTGAAAGTAATGCTAACAAAACAATTCATACCGTATTTAATAATTATTATCATTAAATTAGTTATTCATTTACACCATACAAAATAATATAAATGTTTATTTGAACTATAATAGTAAATAATTATTTTACAATTAATTGATTTATGAATAACTAAAATTATAATTTAAATGTGTGTAATTTTATTAATTAAGGTAATTATATATTTTTAGGGACAATTGTAACGCCGGCCGAGATTGAGAACGTATTGCTAACCCATAGGGATGTGATAAACGCCGCGGTGTTTGGAGTCAGGGATGAGGACAGGGGTGAAGTTCCCATGGCTTTCGTAACGCTAGCCCAGGGCTCGACTGTATCGGCCCAAGAGATTGTTGATTACGTGGACTCGCGGGTCAATTACTATAAGAAACTGAGAGGTGGTGTACGTATATTAGACTCGATGCCCATGACATCGTTGAAAAAGATTAACCGTGCTGAGTTGAAAAAGCTCATTGTTAAATAAATAATATTGTATTGTAATTAACGCATTATTTTGATTGTTTTAATTAATGTTGTATCACCTATTATGATTTTTGTTTATAATAAACATAATATGTTTAAATTATTTTAATTGAAATTAAGTGCATTCTGTTCTCTCTCTCTCTCTCTCTCTCTCTCTCTCTTCCTTTCACTGCTATTTTTATTTAATCTATTGAGTTTTATTAGTTTTTGTGTGTTTTTTATTAAT